GTTGTTAAATTCCTTTACTGCCTTATTACTCTACTCTTACATGTCTCTGAAATATGACAACATATCTGATCCTCTATCTTTCCCAGAATGTTTGGGAGCTTATTGTACACAACCAACAGCGTGTTTGGCACTGTTCTGCTTTTCTCTTCTATCCAAATGGACTCATTAATGATCCTTCCATGATATCACCTTCTTCATTTCTATATTCGATTCCTTGATCAACATTGCAACCCAAGCACAGCTCCATCCCCACCCCTTTTATCCCGTGTCTTGGTGTGCACACACTACAACTAGGAATACTGAACTGTCAATCCTGTCCATCTTTCAGCCAAGTCTCAGTCACATCTGTGATAAATTACTCTTGTACTTTTAGCTCACCTATCTTATTCTTCAGGCTTCTTGCATTAAAATGTATTCTATTTAGTTTTGCTAAACTCATTTTTTCTTTCCTAGCCTATGCTTCCTCTGCCTTCCAGATTCACTTATTCACATGTTAACTTTTAATTCCACCTTGGCTTCTTTGCCACTCTGAACTACTTTCAGAATCCCATCCCCCAATAAAGTAGAAATCTGGCCTCACAGCTGTGTTTCTAGGTTTCAAATCCTATAAAATTCTAAAATTTCCAAAGGTAATCAGACAACCTTTCCAGCTAACTAATAAGGTTCACAAAAAGGTCCTACAATCTAATGTTTATAGGAACATCTCTAGCGGTGTCTTGCATTTTTATTAAAATAGAATAGGCGTCATTACCAAAAAACCTAACAGACTTTACAATAAAGCAGGAAGAGGAACAGAAACATGGAGGTTGGGGAGAAACATCATTTTTATAAAATGTGAAAAAGGCATAGCAGTACCAGTGGAGAATCTGAGAGAGGAGGGTCTAGGTAGCCATAACATCTACCATTGACAGTATAAAATATGCAGAGTGTCAGAAATTGAAAGGTCAAGGGAGCAAAACAAAGATGATGATGAGGAAAGAGATAGTAGGAACTGCCGACGCTGGAGAATCTGAGATAACAAGGTGTAGAGCTGGATGAACACAGCAGGCCAAGCAGCAGAGGAGCAGGAAAGCTGATGTTTCAGGTAGAGACTCTTTTTCAGAAAAAAACATTTTTTTTTCCCCAAAGAAGGGTCTCGACCCGAAACGTCAGCTTTCCTGCTCCTGATGCTGCTTGGCCTGCGGTGTTCATCCAGCTCTACACATTGTTATCTATGATGATGAGGAAACTGTAGAAGGACAGTAAAATAAAGCTTTGGAGAAAGACAGTATATGCTGGAGCAAACATAACTAATAGATGAGTGATACTAAGTGCAACAGCTGCTTTTAAATAGATTAGAACTCCAGGAAAGCAGCAAATCGAGCACTGGAATAGTGGGTCTTAAGGCAGAGATGAATAGTTAACACCAAATTTAAGAATGATGTCACAAAGTGGCTCTAGTACTTCAATCGTGACGTGGTGGAGGCGTGGGGATTGATATGGAAATACAATGACTTCATACAAGAGGAATGGAAGCAAGAAAGAGTCATTGTATGCAAACAAACAACAAAACAGAAGTGAAGACATTGCAAATTGAGTATTAACTGCCTTAGAAACAAAAGTGATTAAGTGGGGGTTGGGGTGGAGAAGTGGGTGTACCCCAGTCAATGCCATATTATCAGTGTTGTGTCAGGGACAGAGTCTACTGTGGCGATTTATATAGTGAGTTTCTGGTGAAATGGAAGTGTTGGGAAACAATTCGTAAATCAAGGAACCAAGGGGCAGGGGTGAATGAAGGTTACAAATATGACAGCGGCTACAGAAGAAGACAGTTGAAGTAACAGAGTACTGCTGCAGATTTGAAGTAGCAAGATGCAATCATTTCTGAGCTAAAATGAAAGTCAGGAACATTAGTTCAATGGTTAGTTGTGTGGGTAAGGGGTCTGGAAACAAGAACTCAGCATCATCAAAGAGACCAGTTCAAAGGTTGCAAAGAAGAGGAAATTAGTCAGAAAAACTGAAGTGCCAACATTTTGAAACAATAATGGTCAGGTGATTGTGGAGAGGTCGGAGATGAAAAGGAAAAGGATGTATCGATTGGCTTGATCTTAGGGACAAAAATTAAAACTCTGATGTCCTTGCAATCATTGCCCCAGAGGGTAATTGAGAGTCAAGTATATTAATGTGGGTCTGGAGTCACATGTAAATCAGACCAGGTGAGGATGGCAGATTTCCTTCCCTGAAGAACATTAGTGATTAGGAATGCAGAATAGGAGCCAGATCTTATCCAGTATGATTTTGAAGGTGATATTTTTGGCATACAAAACAGGTACTGTAAAATTTGCTACGGTAGAGCCAACTCTAGTGAATTGTGTAAAGTTTGATTTTACATTAGCTATGGTTAAACTTTCATTTTACTGAGATTATATTCTGTAGGCATTCAGAATATTACAAAATGGAGTTCAGGGAACAATTTTCAAAACATTTGTTTCAGTTGGGAAATTATACTGTCATAGATAACGGCTGAACTAGAATGAAGCAAAATTGGCAATAAATAATAAATAATGCTTGGATTCAAATTTTAAAAAAAGTACTCACCTGATACTGAGGCATCATTCCCAGTGGATTATTTTGACTACTGTCAAATGTTAAGACATCAAAAATTCCAACACAATTGACACGTAACCTTGCAAAAACAAAGTGAATTCAGAAACATTTTCATTATGCAACTTTTCAGTTTCAGACTTATCTTTGAACTCAATATGTTCCTTATTTCTTATAATACTTAATTTCCTTCTGTTTGTAAACTGCATTCAAACAAAAAAATTGTTGAAAAACAGAACACCATGAGCGCTAACATTTTGTTGATTTAAATAACGAACCTATTGAAGAATGAAGTATAGTCAATCAAGTCACTGACATGGTGTGGGGGAAAATTTGATATATAGTTCCAATACATAACATGCAAAAGTCTAAAGAAAATAGGAAGAAAAATGAATCAATGTGTACAACACAATCTAAAACAAAAATTACTAAATGAAGTCAAGACAGTCTTTATAGAGAATGAGGGGAAAGATCCAGTACTAAATGCTTATACACAAGTATGCATTATGGAGTTCAAATGAGTGAAGGTCCCTAAGGTTTCTATTACGGTGACTTTTCTAAGTTTAATAATGATACTGTCTGAAAATGCCTGTCTTAAAATTGGTGCAAAACTAAATAATAGGCAAACAGAATTTGACATCTTGTGAAGTCGCTCACAATTTTGAATTTCAATTAAATTTTAAAAATTCAATTTAAACTTACAAGAAGTTGAAGGAATTCTACAAAACATTACTACTTGATTTATTTTCTCACATTTATTAAGAAATGTATACAAATAATACAAATAATGATTTGCAAGTCAATAAATAAAAAGAAGCATATCAATATTCATCCAGCTCTACATCTTGTTATCTCATATCAATATTTGTTGGTTAATGAAGAAATTATTTAAGAAGATCTGAACAATAGCAAAAATATCCAAATTTTAAACAAAAAACGGTTCTAGAATAAGGTCTCGCATTGCAGAGTTTTACCTGGTTTTACCAGTTATAAGAATCTTGGTTGGATCCATGACACGACAGGCCAGTCCTGCTGTATGAATGGTACGCAATGCTGAGCTCAGTTGGACAATGTATGCCCAAATAAGAGATTCTGGCAGTAATCCTGCATGTTGGCGAGGGAGAGGTCCATCATGTTGGCCTAGCATAAACAAGAGTTCCTGTTGATATTTTAGCTATTAAATAGCAGGGGCAAAATGAAAAAAAAACAGGAAGACGTCATTCACGTGAGAAACTAGCGACAGAATTTTAGTCAGGATTTTCATGCAGTGATCTGAAGGATACTGAGTCTTCAAAGAATCTTGAACTTTTGGATAAATAGCTGCAGTAGAGATTTTCCCACAGTGTTAAATCCAGACGATTGTCAATTAATAAGGAACAAAATAGACTTTTACATTCATGAAGGAAGTTAAGAGCACAATATGTCCCACATGTCTCTATATTTCTAGAAAGTAAATGCCCATTTACTTGTATTCATTATTCTTTCAATGTCCTAAGCTATGAAAAATACTACATAACTGCAAGCAGATGGAGGAGGGCAGGAATGCATGAAAACAACACTACCTGCTGGTTTCCCTCTTTGCCACCCCGACATCCTGTCTTGGAGTTCCAGTGAACCTTTTATTATCCGATACCCATGGGACCAGGAGTGTGCTGATTGATCAAATATTCCAGATAATCAAGAGGCCCATATAATCAATATAGAAGCACACTCCAAGTAATAGAAATGTAATGCAAGGAGTATACGCTTCACTGTTATACTTTATTTACAGTATAAATCACTTAAGTAATAATGCAACTTTGCCTTAAATAAAACTTACCGGTCGAGAGCCTTCTCACTTGCACCCTTAACTGACTACTCGGGTATCGCAGTATTTGAGGAGAAATTGACTCACAATTGAAGCAACTGGTGATATTTCATGTGGCCATTCAATTGAACAAGTATATTTACATTGAGGTAAATATCTTAAAAACTATAAGTGGACAGAATAACACGGTAAACTTTGCAATACTTGAGGTATAGAATTTTTGCCTGTTTATCGAGAATGCCAGTACATGAGGAGCCAGTTAACACGAAGTTTGCTGCATATTACTCCACCTTCATTGTCACTGGGTCAAAACCACGGAGCTCCCTTCCTAACAGCACTGTGGATTCAAGAAGGCAGCTCACCACCACCTTTTAATGCATTTAGAGAAGTGCAAAAAATGCTAGCCTAGCCAGTGACACCTACAAGCAGCGAAAATATAAATAAACTTCCATCATGATCCATCATTAAGTACCTCATTTTTGAGGTAACCGTTACTCATTAGTTGCATTCATTTACGCAACTATTACGCTTTGAATCTTCCTAATGAAGAGATGCTTGACTAATGCCTTCCTAAAATCGGGATTAGGGATGTTCATTGACGACTGCTTAACATTCAACACAACATGCAACTTCAAAGCATTAAAAATTGAGAGGAGGATAGTGTAAGACTCCAAAAGAAAATAGAATAATTGGTGGAGTAACAGATAGTGGCAGATGAAGTTAAAAGAAGAAGTGTGTGGCAATACATTTTATTAGAAAGAGCATAGGGACATAGTATAATGGGTACAACTCTAGAAGGGATGCAGGAGAGCGGGACATGGATGTAAATGAGTATAAGTCATTAAAGATGACAGGGCAGGTTGAGAGAACAGTCAACAAAGCATTCAGTATCCTAGATTTTTTAAACAGGGACATAAAGTACATTAAGGAAGATATATTAAACTTGTGCAAGTGGCTAGTTTGGCCTCATTCAGAGTTTTGAATCCAGCTTTGGGCACTGCACTTTATGCAGGACATGAAGGCATTGGAGACAGTGTAGGTGGTTAATAAGAATGGTTCCAGGAATGACACATTTCAGTTACGAGGACCAATTGAAAAAGCTGGGTCTGTTTCCCTTAGAAAAGGGGAGGCTGAGAGGAGATCCAATTCATTCAAAATCGTGAGGGGTCTGGATAGAGCTAATAGGGAGAAAATATTTCCACTTGGAAAAGGATTGAGGAAGAGAGGATATGGATTTAATTATTAAAAGTAGTAAAACAGTAGGAGGAAAATCCTTTTCACACAGCTAGTGAATAGGGTTTAGAATGCTCCGTCAGAGATTGTGGTGGAAGCAGGTTCAAGCAACACATTCTAAGAGTAATGAGACAGTTATTTGAGAAGAGACAATATGCAGGATTATGGGGGCAAGGAAGGAAAACGGAGTAAAGTGAGCTGCTCATCTGAGAACCAGCACACACATAATGGGCCAAGTGGTTTCTGTGACCTCCAACACTAAAAGCAGTTCACAAAATGCTGCAACATTCAAATTTGTCCTGATTAAGTAGCAGGTAACAATTATGCTACCCCAAAAATGCCAGGTAATGTTCACCTCCAATAAGGAATAGTCTAACTACCTAACCCAGATATTCAATGGCATTAATTATAGAATCATAGAATCCCTACAGTGTGGAAACAGGCCCTTCGGCCCAACAAGTCCACACTGAACCTCAGAGCATCCCACCCAGACCCATCCCCCTATAACCCACCTAATGTTTTGGAGTAGATCTATAGCTCCAGTTGTGGGTGTTGAGGTTGGTTGGCTCACCAAGCTGGTTTGTTGTTCCGCAGACGTTTCGTTACCGTGCTTGGTAACACCCTCAGTGCAGCCTCTGATGAAGCGTCGGTGTGTCTTCCCGCCTGGTTTTTAAACTCTGGGGTCCGTTGCTATGGATTGCCTTACTTCCGGGTTTCCTCCGTAGTGGAATGTATATGGGGTCGAGTTTAATGTGTTTATTAATAGCATGCTTCGTGGGGTGCCATGTTTCCAGGAATTCTCGTGCTTGTCTCTGCCTGTCCCAGGATGTTGGTGCTGTCCCAGTCGAAGTCATGGTTCTCCTTGTCCATGTGGATTGAGATGAGTGAGTATTGGTCGTGTCTTTTTGTAGCCAGTTGGTGTTCATGTACTCTTGTTGTTAGTTTCCTTGCTGTTTGTCCCATGTAGTGTTTCTCGCAGTCTCTGCAGGGGATCTTGTAGATCAACCCTACGACAAGTGCTTACCCAAACCAAAGACCCACTCCCTGCCATGTACAGGACCAACGTCATCTACAAGATCCCCTGCAGAGACTGCGAGAAACACTACATCAGACAAACAGCAAGGAAACTAACAACAAGAGTACATGAACACCAACTGGCTACAAAAAGACATGACCAATACTCACTCATCTCAATCCACATGGACAAGGAGAACCACGACTTCGACTGGGAAAACACCAACATCCTGGGACAGGCTAGGCAGAAACAAGCACGAGAATTCCTGGAAGTGTGGCACTCCATGAAGCATGCTATTAATAAACACATCGAACTCGACCCCATATACATTCCACTACAGAGGAAACCCAGAAGTGAGGCAATCCATTGCAACGGACTAGAGTTTAAAAACCAGGCGGGAAAACACACCGACGCTTCATCAGAAGCTGCACTGAGGAGGCTACCAAGCACGGTAACAAAACGTCTGCGGAACAACAAACCAGCTTGGTGAGCCAACCAACCTCAAAACCCACCTAATCTACACCTCCCTGAACACTACAGGCAATTTAGCATGACCAATCCACCGAACCTACACATCTTTGGACTGTGGGAGGCAACCGGAGCACCCAGAGGAAACCCACGCAAACACGGAGAACGTGCAAACTCCACACAGACAGTTGCCCGAGGCTGGAATCGAACCCAGGTCCCTGGCGCTGTGAGGCAGCAGTGCTAACCACTGTGCCACCGTGCCACCACACTGATTTTGCTATTACAAAATTCTTGTGGGTTACCATTGACCAGAAACTGAACTGGACCAGCCATAAAAATACTGTAGCTGCAACAATAATTTAAAGCTGGCAACTGAAGCAAAAAATCAACTCTTGACACTCTAAAGCTGGTGCACTATCTACAAAGATCAAGGCAGCAATGTGACAGAATACACACAAGTGGAGCAACTCCAGTAACTTGATTTCATCCAGACAAAGCAGCACACTTGACTTGCCACCCCATTCAATACCTTAAACATTCATTCCACCAATGACGCACAATAGCAGATTGTACATCATATACCAGATGCACTGCAGCAACTCACCAAGTCTCCTTTGACAGCACCTTCCAAACACACACTTGCAATGACTTAGAAAGACAGGGTAGCAGATGAATGGGAACACCATCAACTGCAAGGTCCCCTCTGAATTGCACAGCATCCTGTATTGGAACGATATTCCTTTTCGTTCACTGTCACAGGATCAATATCCGGGAACTCCCTTCCTAATAGTACTGTGGGTTTACCTGCATCAAGTAAACTGCTAACCCTTTTTTTCCCCAAAGACAAAGGCAAAGGCAATTTGGAATATGTAGCTAATAATACCTACCCACATCACATGAAAGAATTTAAAAAAAAGCCAAACTTCTGGATTAACTCAAAAAGGCCAATACAACATATAAACTCCCACATAAATAATTAGGCTTTTGGTGCACATATTCAGCTGAAACATAAATCATTATACTGCTCCAACTGCAAACAGGAACCTACAATGATGAACAAGAGATGCACATTATTAATGGTGAGGTATCATAATTTTCAAGTAAAAAGCATTACTTGCAGAAGGGCAATCTATACTAATGTGTTTATTGCATTTCCTTTTCAGATGGTGGTGAAGACAGTCACAATGTTAGCTTTGTGCAGGTGTTCTAAATGAGAACTAGCTTAAGCTGAAGCAAATGTATTGATACTCTGTAAAACTAGGAGAAAACTTGCTACCACATCCCTGACAAATGAAATTCATGGACAAGGACAGCAGATGGCTTGGTACGATAAAGATACATTTACTGCCCACAGCGTCTGACCCAAGGACCATGTGACTAAACCACTTAACCACCAGTCCCAATTCTCAACTGTCAACTTAACAATTCTTATAAATTAGATTAACGGGTGACACGGAACTAAATTTACCTTGCAGTTTTATTTCTATTTCCTTGTAGCTCACCCACATTTCTTTCTGCAATGGTAAGCAGTGACACTACCACAAACGTTAGAACTTTCTTAGTAAAATAACTTGCCGAGACTCATGACACTGCTACAATCATTCTTAAAAGCTTGCTTTTTAGCTTGCTTAAAAATACACATAACTCTATACAACTGCACACATCTCCACGAACTGGAGTTTCTAAATAGGGATATTGAAGCATTGGCAAAACATTTTTCTTCATAAAAATGTTTTTTTTGGGGTCAATGCTGAAATGAATTAATGAACTTGAGAACTTCCAAATTAAAACCATGAAAATCCAAATTAGCTTGCATTTGGCTGTTGTGGAACACGCATTTTATCCCTCCCATTCTCTACAAATAAACACAACTCACCTAAATCCAGAAAGCTTAGCCACAGGTTAGGATGAGGTGCTACTACAGTTTGCCTGATAAACCAATGTAACTCACCATCACTTTGCAATGTTTCTCTTGATATGTTCTTCAGGTACACTTTTTTTTGACAGTATGTACTGCAAGAGCATTTCACTACTCAAGACGAAGACAATCCAACCGTGTTTCTCTGCTGTACGTCTCCTTTCCACGAACCTACCTTGAAGTTCCTTCAAATTTCCCCTGCTGCCCTAGTCCTGAACTTATACTTTTTCTCTAGTCTTTTTTCTATGACCACTCATACCCTTCTGAGCTCAACTTGTTCATGGGGTCCATCTCCTGGTCTCTTAATTGTATCCCCATGAAACTGCTGACAATCCAATTTCCTGTGAGAAATGCATGCCAATGACATACATCTCTATCTCACCATCATTTCTCTCAACTCCTCGACAATTGATAAATTATTTTATTGCCAGTTTTAAAGTTCATTTCTAGCTGCCAATTCCATCTCTCTCCCATCAACAGTGAGAGTTTATTCCAGTCTGTTCACAAACCCAGTGTCACATTTGATCTTAAAATAAGCTTCTGAAATCATACTCATGTTATTAGTAAGATTACCTACTTCCACCTCTGTAACATTACCCAACTTTGCCCTTGACTTCTTCAGCTGCTGAAATCCTAATTTCTATCTTTGTTACGCCTTCTCGATGTAACTATTCCAATGAATACTTGGCTGGTCTCCCATATTCCACTTCCTGTAAACAGGATGCCATCCTGAACCCTTAATTTGTAGGGATTCACATTCTCCTAAAACTCCTTTGCTTGCTAACCAACACTGGCTCCCAGTAAAGCATCTTGACTATAACATTTTCATTCCCGTTTTCAAGTTGTTCCATGGGTTTGCCCTCCCATTTCTGTAATCTCCTCCAGCTTCACATCCATCTAAGATTGGCAGAATGTTTTAATTCTGGCCTCCTGTGCACCCCCAATTTTAGTAGCTCTAAAACTGGTGATGTGTTTTCAGCTGCTTCTGCCAAAGCTTAGGATATCATCCCTATCCATCTCCAACTCTCTACCTTACATTCCTCCTTTATGATCCTCTTACAAGTTGAATGTTTGAACACGATTTGGATAATTCAAGGCTCAAAATAATTTCTCCCTTCTCCAAGAGCTCGACTTAAGATTTCCTGAGGGTTACTTTTCTATTTTCAGGGGAAGCCTTTTGGTTTTCAGGGATCCTTTTCAGTCTCACGATCTCTTTCATTAGGTGATGCAGTCACTTAGCATTAACGTTGACATGTGGCGAGTTTGAACATTCAAAGAAACAGAACTAGAATAATTCATCAACAGCCCCAACAATCATCACCACTCCATTAAAGGTAAATCCATAACACAAAACCAAAATATTAAATACTGCCATGTCTCAGAAATTAAATAAACAAAAGATAATGAACATAAGCTAGCAACAAATGATTCAAAAACAAAAAGACGTACACTTCTATACACAAAAAGCCATCAATACAAACAGGCTTTCTGCACAGATGTAGGTTTGTCATTAACACAGTCACTATATCTCAAGTAGTTAATTGTACTTAAGACACTGTTATATAGTACCACAAATACAAACCTTCATTAAATAAATTGTTCAATATTAAATAATACAACTGATACACATTCAATACTACTGTACCCACTAGAATTTTCCCCCATATAATAGTTCCTGATCTCCTGCAGCTTTAGTGTAGAGACTTCACATTTGGAAGGAATGCATTCCCTTGGCTTTTCTGTTCCCAGCTAGCTGAGTACTTTTTTTGTTATGAGTGTAAAAACATTTTCTCCTCTTATCAGACCCTCTATTGCCTTTCAGATACTTTCCAGTCTTTCTGCAGCAAACCCTGACCAAAAGTAAGGCAGTTGCTCTGTCTCCCACCCCACTAGGTAGTTTACACTTTATACCCCACCCCGACACCTAATACCCAAAAATAAGGCCCCTCTCTCTTTCTCCAATCCTGAAACTAGGCAGCTTCTCTTGCTCCCCCAACAGGCAATTCCTGTAACTTTCCTACTGCAGCATAATTTGCCCTCCAGCTATTTCCCAGCTAAGTCAGTGTCACTTACCTGGGCCCAGGTCAAACCATGTCCTCACCTTGCAGTCTGATGGCCTCACTCTGCCACCACTAGCCCTCGAGCCTTGTTGACTGCTATTGCTTACTCAGCGGCATGCACAGGGGAAAATCTGCCTTTCGACTGGGCAGCAAATCCTTGCTCTTTGCTTTCATTCATCTTGTGGGGGGTGACTTTTTTCTCACTTGTCACCATAATTTGTTTGGGCAACTTGGAGATTTTGAGGGTGAATTTGCCCACCACCCTATGTACTTTGAGCATTGATCCTAAATATCATCTTGGTATCAGAATTTGTTTTATAATGTTCCTGTGAGGTTCTTTAGATATTCCGCCACCTTTAAGGGATTATATAAGTATACATTCTATTGCAGATTTTAAGATTTTAAGCAATTGCTGAACAGACCTGGAAATGTGTGAATTAAAATTTATTTTTGCTTACCCCATTTTCGTTTAGTGAAATAGGCATCAGCACTGGGATCGTTGAAGTGTTTGGTCATCATTGTCTCTGCTCCAGCATGGAAGTCATAAGCAAATACAAGTGCTGTAGACAAAGCAACCAATACAATCTACATAAAGAAATAAACTTGCAGCTCACTGTAGTTCTCAAAAAAAATCTTAAACTTCATGCCTTGGCTTTTTCTTTAAAATATGCAGGCAATAACTGATAGGAAAGACCAAATGGAAATAAGATTTTAAAAAGCCTCAGAAACAAAACAGATCTTTTTTCTCCTTTAGTCTTTTTTTAAACAAATGCATCACTGGCAAGATCAGCACTTGTTGCCCTTTCCTAATTTCACTTAAACTAAGTGACTACATATTCAGTCT